TAACCCTAACCCTAACCCTTAACCTAACCCTAAACCTAACCCTAACCCTAACCCTTAACCTAACCCTAAACCTAACCCTTACCTTAAGTTGAATCGGCTTGCTTTCAAAGCGCTATTTAAAGCGCCCTTCTTTCTCCGCGCTGGCTGTTGTCGCCCTGTTGATGACATCAGCGATGCGGTTTAATCGGGCGCGATTTAGTTGAGCACGGTTTTGACGGGTCACGGAGAAAACTACACCCCCACCAACGCAGACAGGGCAAATTACTGTATATAAACAGAGAACAAACCCCACACTCACTATCATGGAAGATATTACCTATTTGTGTAACATCTGCACACAAAAAACTAATTCAGAGAACACCAAGGATTCCACAAGGGCTAAAGGGCAGGAAAATTCATGCCAATACAATATGAATAATGGCAATCCATTTGAAGCTCTGGGTATGGACATAGCATATGCATGAAATACCTACTAGTTCCAATAAATATATTTCATCCTTGGAAAACAGCCGTTGTGTGTCTTGCAAAATTGGTTGGATGAAAACTTCTCAATCAGAATCAAATATGTTTATATTTTCTTGAGACAACTTTTCAGGCGTTTATTCCAAACTACAACAAGTTCTAAGAAAGAGTAATGCATTTACTCATATTTTTCTCTTGTTTCCTTTCCCTCACTATTTCCTTTATTTGTCTTTCTCTTCGTTTCTCTCTCAAATGCTTCTTGGAGAAGGGATCTCCCTTTTTGCCTTATGTTCTGAGATGACATAATGGTGTTCATAATGTATTACTTTGCTTACAGAGCTGGAAGAGGAGTCTTTTCAGCCATGAAGTTGGGCAAAACACGTCCCTCAAAAGATGACCATCATCGAAAGCAAGGTGTGCATGTGCTTACCAATCAAACCAGTGGACTACTGCAATCTTGTTATACCCTGAGACTGCAGATTTGCAGTTTCAGACTAGGTGCAAGAGATGGGTACTCCTTTGGATTCAAATAACTCTTTGCTCATTTCATTTTAGGAAAGCCAATTTCCTTTATTTACTTATTTACAAATTGATTGGTTGGTTGGTTGGTTGGTTGATTTACAACATGTATACACCCTGTTCCAACCAAAAGGGACTTTGGATAGGGGACAATGGAATCCTATATAAACAAGAAAAAAATGCAACATTTGATTATCAAACTCCCCAGTAAACAATCAAAAACTTTATAGGTGCTCAATATTTTAACCTGTCCTAAGAGTCAAAACACTGCTTTGGTTAGTTCAAAGAATACCAATAGGATAGAGACCATTTGTTCTTCCAGCAAAGAGTGTTCCGTAGAATTGGATTTTTACTGAGAAGGTCAGTTGCCTGGCCGAGACGCATGTACCTTTTGACTATTCCATGTATGTATCAAAACTGTCATTCATGATTGCATATCATGCTGCCTCTACACTTCTCGGAGAATACGGTGCAAATAGCTTTTAAACAAAGCAATCTAGATCAATTCACCCTAACTTTGAATCCTCTAGAACAGTGATGGTTGTACAGAAACATTGAGCCCACGCTCATCGGTGCCACACTATGGAAAGCTGAACTTCCGGGTTCTAGCATCCATGCGCGTCTGATGATCAGATGGCCAGCGCGCAAGCACAGGCCACTTTTTGGAAATGTCGTGTGTGCAAAGAGATCAAGTTCTGGAAAAGCCAAACTTCTGGGTTCTGGTGCACAGGTGCACCCAACAATCAGCTGGACGGCGCGCATGCACACACCAGTTTTCAGCACTGCTGCAAGCGTAAAGGACAGCTGATCATCGCATTCACATGCATGCCAGAAACCTGGAAGACAAACAGGCAAGGCTGCGCGTGCAAGGCAACATGGCTTCATATGCCGCTTTAGGCATGCTTGCCATAGGTTCGCCATCACGGCTCTAGAAACATGAATTTTCACCTGTTGTCTTGCTAGCTTGTGCATTCTGAGAGTTGAGATTCATCTACCTGGAAGTTTGGAGAATGCTCATCCTAGATTATATCATGACTGGATCACAGCTCACCATACTTTCTCAGGTTTCTCTCACCCTTCTTGAAAGGATGCTCATTGTTAAAGTTTTGTGGTAGCCAATCAAATGTTTTAACTATGACTTGTCTTTCCTGGACAGATCAACCAGCTATCTTGGAAACAGAAGATCTGGACCGTAAAGCAATACGGCTCGGAGGTGGCCTGGATCCAGATACCATCTCCCTGGCATCTGTCACAGCTGTGACCACCAATGTGTCTAATAAGAGGTGAGTACAAGACAACTCAGAAAGTGGAGATCAGAACTACACGTCAGAATGTAAAAAAGGTATGAGAAAAAAATGAGAAATGTGGCACTTAACATTAGAGGCAAAATATTAACCTATCAAAACATTTTATTTATTTCTATTCCGCCTTTATTAATGAATAACTACATTGTATAACCTTTTGCTAAAGTTCAAAGGGTCTCATCAAATTTATTAGTCCTTCTGTATGGTGTTAGGAGTTTTGCCTGGTTTATTCATAAGGCTAAACTATAAGCCACCATTTGCATGTCACGGATAGATAGATTTATATGTTGTGCTAACCCACAATGAAGCCAACCACACATTGTATCAAATATACACAAAGGGTTAAATATTATATTGTTATTTATTATGTCATTGTTATTATTATCTTTCACTATTATCATGGTCTTTTAAAGATCCAAGCCAGATATTAAAATGGAGCCCAGTGCAGGAAGACCAATGGATTACCAGGTAAGATGGTTCCAGTCTCTCATTTGTGTTATGGGAGTAATATGGGAGTCCAAAATCTCCACTACCACAATCCTTTTCCAATTGAACATCATCATGAATAATCTGTTCATCCTTATTCCTATCTTTTACAAATTGGTACGTTTCATGGCATCTTCCATGTCCCAAAGAAGGAATTGTTGAAGGCACATCAGGTGGGGGAAAGTGATAGTAGTGCAATTAGTACAACTCAGAAGCATGCTTAAGCCATGCTTAATAGATCTGTGCTTGATTGAATCAATGCAATAGCTTTGGTTCACACAAGGTATAGAATCAACATCACGCGAAGTGTTAATACCACTTTATAATGCCTTGGTAAGGCCACACTTGGAATACTGCATGCAGTTCTGGTCGCCACAATGTAAAAAAGATGTGGAGATTCTAGAAAGAGAGCAGAGAAGAGCAACAAAGAAGATTAGGGGACTGGAGACTAAAACATATGAAGAACAGTTGCAGTAACTGGGTACATCTAGTTTAATGAAAAGAAGGACTAGGGATGACATGATAGCAGCGTTCCGATGTCTCAGAGGCTGCCCCAAAGAAGAGGGAGTCAAGCTATTCTCCAAAGCACCTGAGGACAGGACATGAAGCAATGGGTAGAAACTGTTCTTCATATGTTTTAGTCTCCAGTCCCCTAATCATCTTTGTTGCTCTTCTCTGCTCTCTTTCTAGAGTCTCCACATATTTTTTATATTGTGGC